CCTTCAAGCACACAAAAAGAGTATAAAAACATCAACAGTGTTTTTCTGTGGTGCCGATTGTGATGCCGTACAAAATGGTTGTAACCTTTGAGCAAGTGGACAAACTCCTGACCACTATCCAGTCACCATCACTTTGACGGCATTTCAGGAAACTTATTCTGATTTATCAAAACAGATCCAGATGTCCCAAAAAGCAACAAGCTTAGTCACAAGGGTTAGTAAACGTCATCCTATACGCATTTTGCCCCTGCCCACCACTGTGTAATGTTGGCATAACACTTTCATCTAACAGAAGTTTACATTTTACCATTTTCAAACATTGAAAAGGGGAATAGGGGTGCTCTTATTCTGTAGGTACTGTAGTTATGATTTCACGTTTTTGCGCATTTTCCAGAAGAATTAGTCCATAGTTGTAGTTTAACTAATTTTTCGTAATTAAGGAAAGTAAACATCGCTGAGCTTCTAATTAACAGCTGCATTAATTGTCCACTGTGTGTGAATTAGTGGATGGTCTGTGCAATATCGGTTGGCTGTCTGTGGTGCTTACTTTATATTATTAGAATGAATAGTCTTGTATGAAACTTTTTTTGCCGGTCTTTAACAGCATTCTCCGTAAACATAAAATCAATTTTTAAATAGTGTCCCTAATTATCTCGTGTTTGGCGACAAAAACAAAAGACGAACCGACAAGTTTCGCCTACCAGGTTTAGAAGTTGGTCGCGGCGAGATTGTAGCAGGTTCTTTTGTAGGATATGATGTTGTTGCATATGTTGGAAATGTGAAGCTTCCGGAATTATTTGGGGCATGACGGTTCCTTGAAAGGGGATCCTCAGAGGTTCCATACAAAATTAACGACCAGCTATAAAGTGTACCTAGAATGAAGAAACACAGCGCAAGCATTAGTTTTAAGTCCTCTTCCATAAGGCACTATGTGATTCAGAAGGCTGCAATCAGTTTAACTAATGAACCAAACGACCAATGTACATGAATGAAGATTTAACCCGCATTTTTATGATCAGGTAACTTGAGGTTTCTGAGGTGGAACATAAAAGGAAGACAATCAGGCGTGGTCCAAAATGCTTTCGTTACAAGTAGAAAGCACTGTNCTGTTTATCAGCGGTTATCTGCATGAACGGAAAAATAGGCAAACGAGAGAAAGAGATTAACTCAGCGCAGTTATTCTTTATTTACAACCACTTTAATTAACTGATAACTGGTTTTACAACGACACCACAATTGCATGGGGTCCAGACTAAAATATCCCTTCAATGTTTTTAAATTCAATTTCAAGCTTAGACCTCGCAGCTCTCATTGTACACAGCTTAACACCTTACAGTTTAAGTTCGTAAAAACAGACCTTGTTAGTCATTCTTGGGTTTCATAAAAGGGCCAAATATCCAGACCAAACAATCAATACCGTTATATACAGTGGAATGAAGAGAGTGCTGTGCTCAGAGTGTACTCAATTAAAAAGTTTACTAGTTTTCACAGCCCCCAAAGAGAAGGTTACTGGCCCTTTCTTCTTGGGAAAAAAGCAAAGAAGCCTTTTGGGATAAGGGGAGAACTTTAAAATCTTTCATAAGCTGACAGCTGTTTCACTCACAACTTTTCCGTATCCTTTCCATGTGTCTCTGCTGTAAGTTGTGGCCATGATTCCAGGGCAGTCTTCAGCATAGGTTGGATTCGAACCATCTTTGTTTAAACCGGTGATTGCAATAGTGTAAATACTATTAACATAACCGTTATAGGCACAACTGTCTTGAAAAACGCCGCCATTTCCAGCTGCAAAGAAATAAATAGCACCCAAGCCCCTTCTACCCTGAAAAAAAAAAA